TTGCAATTATTAAGACTCAACATAAACCAACCATTTTGGCATTAAATATTGTATAGGGAGAAAAAAAAATAGAACTGGTTGCCCTTTAGCTAAGGGTCCAAAGATTACAATAGGTTTCCCCTTTCATTTAGAGTAAAACCTGTGGTAATAGAGACAAAATGATGACTTTAGGGTAGTAGTACATGAAGATAGTGTCAATGTATCACAAGCCATGACGACTGTTGAAGCCAAAGATACTGTGACATTTGGGAAAATGCCTGTAAGTGGTACTTTCATGAACAGTGGAGAGTGTCAGAAATACTTGGGCTGATTTACCCTGGAAAGTTCCCTCTTTTTGAAGAGCTATGTCCAGGCATGAAATTTTTGCAGTTCCATTTCAATCCAAACATACTTCTCACACGTCAGTTTACCATTCCTAATGCCTCATCACGTCCTCCTCTTCTCTCTCTCATGTCTACAGATTCGTCCCCTTTTGCAAACAGAGACTGCAAGTAAAGACTGATATATTTTGTAAATACTAATCTGCTAAAAAGTCTCCTTAGTTTGCTGCTGTGATGCACAGAGTAAAATTGCTATAGGCAGCAGCAATTTGGGAGGGTGGGGGCAGAAAGACTAGGATGCAGATGTACTCAAGAAGCTATAGTGGAACCAGAAAATGTTTCTACCACCTTCAAAAATGATCATATTTCCCATTACAGCTCCGGTCAAGCCATAACTACTCCTAAGGTGAGAAAGTTAAACATGTGTGTAGGATTTCAATAAAATTTATAAATAATAAAGTGCCACTGGCTATTGCCAGTATTGTTACTTATTAACAGCAGAAGTCAGAAGAATAATGAGCCAATTATGCCAGAAGATATTTAATGAAGTGCATGTAACCATACTGCAACTGACCTTTCAGTAGCTGAGCCAAATGGCTGTTTGTCAACATTTTTTTTTTAAACCACACACTTTTTAAAATACCAGCACACATAAACAAACCTTTCAATCATCAAAATATTTTCGTAGATTACTGCAATAATGTGAGCTCCATCAGCAACTTACTGGCAATCAAAGTACCTGCAATTGTATAACATGTTCTGCTCTATTTTGAAATTCAATAGATTGACCTTTTCACTGGAAGTCAAACAAAACAGTTTGCAGCACATTACACTGGCGTTCTTAGATGGGAGATTTTTAACTGAACTATATACTGTGTGTACCCTCAGATATCCAAGTCACATGGCATGTAATACCAGTATCAAACCTGCAAAAACAATCTTAACAGATAACAAACGTACTATAGTGGCTTGTCTACACTAAGGGGTTTCAGCAGCACAGTTATGGCCGTAGTGTAGACACTATGAGGAAGTTACTACAGCAACTGAATGGGTTATTCCATTGCTGTAGTATCTCCACCTCCCCAAGTGCTAGTAAGTAGGTCATCAGAAGAATGCTTCTGTCAACCTAGCTGTGTCTTTGTCAGGGATTTAAGTCAGTGCAACTACAGTGCTCAGGGATATGGGTTTTTCATACCCCTGAGCATGGTAGCTATGTCGATCTAAGTTTTAAGTGTAGACCAGGCCTCAGATGAAATTAGTACTATGCAATATGTTGCTTTTACAACACCTAGACTGAGTTTTAGCAATGATATTTAATTTAAACTTTTGTGGAGACAATTGTGAAATGAGTTTACAGAATCCTATATACGTGTATAAGGATTCAACTTAGCTTTCTTAAATGAAAGGCATCAGGTAATTAGATGCCAAAAAAAACACCAAAAACTTTAGGTTGCTAAACCCCCTAAGCAGCATGACAACACCCTAACAAGATATGAGAACTTCCTTCAACAGCACATGAAGTTCTGGGGTAACTATACAGCCCCTCTACCCCTTTCTGCCCCTGCTTCCCCAGTGCATGAGATTAAGTGGGAGACTAGAATAATTACTAGAGAAAGAAGGGAAGAATTTTGAGGAAAAATCTGAAGTATTGAGAGAGCAAGGTCTGGAAGGGTTTGAAGCCTCACTGTAATGTTTATGTAGGCCAAAAACATAAAGAGCCTACTTGTCCAGGACAAAAGAAAAAAATCCTAGGCGGAGGCAGATCTTGTACTGGTATAACCAAATGTTTTGCTAGAGGACTAGATAATTCAGTGGCTGAGTAGCTACTTAAGGCAACAGACCCTCTTTAATAGGATATAGAAGGAGTTAGATTAACCCTTTTTAATAAACCTTTTATGTAACATGGCACTATGCGCTAAAGCAGCCTTGGATTATATAGCATTGAGGGGAGTGACAGGAGGTAGCAGACACTGTTTGTTTTGAGAGCTCTTTTCCTCTGGGGAAGAAAAGGATTTTTTGCTGCCAGAAGTGTTAATTACCCTCAGACTTCCTTTAAGAACCTCAAGAGGTACTCCTTTAAAGCCTAGTTAGAGATGAAGGTTAGAGAGCTGGCTCTATCTGGGGGGAGACTGCAAAGCCCTCAGTGAGCTCAGACAGGGCTTGTTATAATTTTATTTGCAAACTTGGAATCTGGGAAGGCTTTTGATTATTTGCACAGGAAAGGACTAGGTGTTGAAAAATTATTTCATCAGTGCAGTGTTTGAATCCAGATTAAGAAGTGAACACAAATCACAGGTAGGTTTTGTTTTGTTTTTAAAATAGTCCCATATTTGTTTGTGACCCCTTTGCATGTGTAATTATCTTTTGGGTAGGCTCAGGGTTTGTGCTGATAGGTGCATTCACCACCAAAAAATTCCAATTCTTAACTCTGGACTAAAATTTTCAGCTTATTCACAATGCTCCAGTAAGTCCCACTTCATAAAAGGAAACTAAACTGGTCAGCCACACTGCAGTAAAATTACTAAAAGCATGTCGAGCAACAAGAGAGAACTATGCAGAACTACAGTTATGGCCCACATGAGGAAGCTCTGAAGTATTAGAGTTCGATATTGAAACGGTTATACAGTTTCTCTTCGGTGACTTGGACAGAAGCCTAATGTACTATAGGAAAAAGTGTGTGGATGTTGTCCTTATACAACAAATGGAGGTACCAGGTGCAGCTGTGCAGACAGACTGTTCCTCCACTCTTTCCTGAGTAGGTCTGCTACAAACACAAACTTGAACAAGCTTAGTTCCATCTTCCAGCTGTTCCTCTTCCCCGTGTAAATGATGCCAGCCCCCCCCCCCCCCATAGCTCTTAAAAATGCAAAAACTATTTACATGCTTGTGAAATAAACACATCTAACCCATTTACAGCGGAAATGAAAGAGCTCTTTCTGGATTAAAACAAAAACATACATATATACAGATTCCAGGGGCTGGAATTAAAAGCATATACAATTAACCATCTGACAAATAGATTCAGGTTAATAGTAACAGGACCAAGACATTGTTAGTACAGCATCAATGTAAGAAGACAGTATGTAGAGGACTAGGACATACACCTCTACCCCGATATAACGCTGTCCTCGGAAGCCAAAAAATCTTACCGCGTTATATCGAACTTGCTGTGATCCACCGGAGCGTTCAGCCCCCTCCCCCCGAGCGCTGCTTTACCACGTTATATCCGAATTCATCTTGTATCGGATCACATTATATC